CAATGTAAATCCATTATATCTATCTAAGCCCTTCGAACATGCGAAAAATGACGTCACATCCCACTGTATTTACCGATTTGAATGTACGTGTGGACACACATACATAGGCAGGACTCATTGATCTCTGCAAGTAACGGCTTCAGAGCATATTCCAAAATGGCTCTAGAAACAAATGGAATCATCAGAACCTATTAACGGTGAGAACAGGAGACCTAGCTCTTCTATTGCGAAATATATTATAGAGACAGGTCATAAAATTGATGTTCACAGATCTTTTAAACCTATCTATAAAACGTGTTTGGGGCGTATCCTAAAGTTTGTAGAAGCCCTAGCAATTAGAAAGTTCAAGCCACCTTTATGCGTTCAAAAACAATTTGTCATCACATCAAACCTTCCTTGGTAAATTTTGTTTTGATACCATAGCAGATGTACTATTACCTCTGCTATTTGGTTTAGTGGTCTTCATTTTTATTTTGACCTTGAATATGTCCTTTTAACTTGACCTAAGTAGTCTATTTTTCTCACCTCTTACCTCTTTATTAAATTTATATATATATTCCTATAACAAGTCCGTGTGTGATCAGATTGTTCGAAATGTGTTGCGCAAATACATTACACGATTCAGACAAATTACGTCTTCTTATTGCTTTATCTATATAATTAGGAATATTAGTGAAGTAACAAAGCTTTCCTGGATAAATTTGAATGCTTAAACTTGTAGGTAATTTATTCCAAAAAAGGTTTTAAAAAACCAGGAATAAACGCATAAGTGTGCAATCTAGTTAAGCATTCATAGACATTAAAGACAGATGATCAAGTTCAACAGAACAGGATCTACCCTTCCTCTTCTTCTACCGACAGTATATGACATCCACCTGAAAAAATGACATAGGAACACAGAACGTTTTGTTAAAAGAGAACCTTTCAACTTAATTGAAGTTTAGTCTGTGAAAGATGCAAATAGACATCAACACACAGAATATGTGTGTATTTGTTCCTCAGAGGAGATTATTTGACTTTTTCTTGAGCATATTGCTAAACGTCTTCGTACTAAAGGTAGCAAAGTGTTATCAAGTGCAACTGCCTAACTCCTGCTTGACATGGTGGGACTTACAGTTCAAACCAGTCAATCTTTTGTAACAATCAGTTTACAAAACAAAAAAATTTGGTATTCTGTCATGCAGAAGCCCATGACTATCAAAAGGTTTTAACGCAACGCTTTTGTACTGAAAGACTGCACGATTAATCTCTTATTACCCTGTGTCTTTGTATTTGAATCCATTAATTTTGATTTTCAGTTATTCATTCGAAGTTCCTATTAATTTTCCTAATTTACAAAAGAATGGATACTGAACAAAGAGTACTCTTTTCGATAACCCTTCATCATCAGGCTCTACATTTATACATACATAGCAGTAGTGAATGAATGAATTATTGTTATGAACAACATTAATGCTGTTTAAATACTTACTTACTTTACTTCGGCTATCTCCTACGGGAGGATGAGCCGGCTTCATGAACGTCTCGAATCATCGCTGCCCAGGCGCGGCAATTTGTAAGAGAGTTCATGAAGTTTCATGGGAATTTGGTACGAGTGATGTCCCCAGCATCGCTCGGCCTTTTGTTTGAGAGTGCAGCTCTAGCCTTTACACAGCCAAGTGTGACCTACAAGGCAGTAGGAGTGGAGTAAGGAGTCTACTATCCATTGGCAGCCGGTGACTGGAGTTCGGTTCATACGCCTTTTTGAATGGGGCCAGACATCCAGGACATCCAACAAGCCCTTTGTCCATACGTCTGCCGGTGAGCTCCAGTGAGCTTCATACGCCAGTCGTTGGAGGTTTGGAATCAGGGTTTAGCCATCTCCCCTAGACCGTCATCCAATGGACAGTCAACCCGGTGGAGAGCGCCGGGCATCCGCTTTCGCCCTCTCACTTTGGTGAGAAACACCTCCGCCACGTGAAGGCAGTGAGTAGGACTTCCTCAGGAGAGGCTATGTAAGACGCCCGGTCATATGGGAGCATTTCAAGAGGTGTGAGGAGGGGTGGCCAACCCGCAGCGCAAGGCACCCACCCCCGACCATCCTGAGGCTTTGGAGGCTGCTTTTTAAATAACATCGGATCAGTAATAATATTAATAGATTACAGCTCAAAAGCATCAACATAAAAATAATCTGAATGTCAGAAAAATTAGGAAAGATAATCCTACAAATTCATGAATTTATAGTCTCTACTGAAGGCCAGGGCAGTCACAGTGGCTGTACTTTCTTCTTCTGCACACAGAGCACTGGCTGTTTGAGGTGGACTGCAATAGCCTCTGCTGTATGGAGCATGCGGTGCTTCGATGAATTTAGCAGTTCATTAAGCACCTGGTAGATGATGGAGATGGATTCTTCCACGCTGGCTTTGCGGCCGGTTTGCACCAGATGCTCCAATATCGAACTGTTAAGGGTTTTCACTACACCTTTACTTATCCATAGTAGGGGAGATGCTGTCGAGCACGAAAAATCAAGTTCCTAGAGCAACGGCCAATATAACTTGCTCCACAATCGCAGTTGAATTGATAGATACAATTTGAAGTGGCTAGTTAGTCTAGGTACTTCATCTTTCAGTTGACGTAGCACCATCGGTCATGTAGAGAATAAGACGTGTAGTTCACCAGCATTAAAAGTTCTTAGAACTGATTTTTTTAAATTTCCTCGTAATTATCTCACTTGGTATATCGCCTTTGAATTGTAGTCGTATATAAAGGGGCTTCTTGTTTAAAGATAGTGAGTAGTCCTTGAATTTGTAATGTTATCTTTCCTAATTTTTCTGACATTCAGCTTGTTTTATTTTTATGCTATTGAGCTGTATTCTATCAATATTACTGATTCGATGTTATTTGAACAGCATTATTGTTGTTCATAACAATAATCCATTATTTCACTACTACTATGTATGTATAACTATAGAGCCTGATGATGAAGGGTTACCGAAAAGAGTACTCTTTGTTCAGTATTCATTCTTTCCAAATTTACTCAACTCTTTGTCTAAGTCATAATTTTATAATTTACTTCCTACTCTCATCCTCTCAAAGATTCTATCAAATTATGCGTTATTCGATTTTGTGCACCATCTTTAGTCAATCTTTACTTCTAAGTGAAATTTGAACTCTTCCCCAAATCTACTTATCTAATTATATTTCAAGATTTCATCATGAGCTGACATTAGTTAGAGAACCATTGGAAAACCTGGGAGTACTGGACAGCTGTTTCGTCCTAGTTTGGGACTCTTCAGCAGTACGCACCCACCGGGATTCGAACCCAGGACCTTCCGGTTACAAGGCGAGCTCGTATACCATTAAGCCACTGGGACCCGATCCAATGGTCCTTGAATTCTAACTTCTGCCAATTCACGACATAGCGACCGCTAGCCAATGTCTTCGCTGGCGAGTATTTGTCCTCACACCCGACCAGCTGCACCCTACTGGTCACGACTTCCCACTGGAACCCAGGTAACTACCTACCTGAATAGGGCCAGTCGCCAGTGAGCATCTCATTGGTATTCAAGTGTTGGTTTGTAGGGATTTGATTGGTTTCAGGATTTCATCATGAGCTGACATTAGTTAGAGAACCATTGGAAAACCTGGGAGTACTGGACAGCTGTTTCGTCCTAGTTTGGGACTCTTCAGCAGTACGCACCCACCGGGATTCGAATCCAGGACCCTAATTATACTATATATATATATATATATATATATATATATATATATAGTTAGGCCGTTTTTAACACAGAATGATTTGTTTCCTTACATCCTGCTGGAATGATGTTAACCTATGCTTTCTATCAGTAACTCTACATCATTGTATGTAAGTATGTTCACACCTTTCTTAGCTTATATTTTGGCATTACTTAGGTTCATCTGTTCAAACTAATTAAGAGGACCGGTTGCATGTAAATTCTTTCGAAACCCTTGAGGTGCATACCAATGAGGAGTTTCACACTTGGAAGAGACATATTTTCAGTATTCATTATTATTATATTATTATCATTCCCTTGCATTCCAAGGGCAACATAGGTCTTCAACAACACATCTCCACCTACTTCTGTTTTGTACCCTCCTCTTCAGCTGGGTCCAAGACTGACCAAACCCTTTTATCTCTTCCTCACACGATCTCCTTCACGTCACCCTAGGACGATTCAATCGTCGCTTCTCAATGGGATTCCACTCGAGCGATGGCCTGCACTAAGCATAATGTTATTCGATGGCCTCGTCAATGTATGCCCGATCCATTTCTATTTTATTCTACATATCTGTCTAACAATCGGCTCTCACCTGTTGGTTTTTTTCCATTGCAGAGTTTCTAATTGCGATTTCTTTCCGTCTGGCCATTTAATCTTCAGTATGCAGTGAGAGTCTGCAACAGGCTGTTAGAAATCTTTTCATGACACACAGTGCAAGTTTCTGACCCGTATAGTAGCACCAACTTCACATTGATGGTGCTGAAAATGTGAATTTTGTTCCTTATGCTGAGTAACAGCAAGAAGATTTCCAAACTGGTTTTAGATTCTTTCATGAAGACGTATCTTGCCTTCCTTTCCGATTCTGACTGGCTTTGATATGGTAGCCTGTGTCAGATCTCTTCCACTGATAGTGATCGATCCCGATTGTTGTTGTTGTTGTTGCTACAGTTGACTGGCTATCTTCACCACCTCCGTATTCTCTATTTTCCCTTGAATTCCTGTCTTTGCTGACTCGTCAGCCAGTACTTATTGATCATCCAATAGTCCCCTAACAGATTTCATCTCGGGATCAAATCTATGGCTAATCAAATTACCTGAATAACTTTCTTAAGCATCATTCAGATTTTAGGATTTTGTCAACATTTACATTCAACCTAAATCAACTTTAATGTATAATTTCATTTTCCTTTCATATCTGTTGATATATGTAACGTGCTCAATTACGGGGTTTTTTTGTTGTTTTTTATGTATTTTACCCCTCTCTCTGTTTTTCTCCAGTAATAAAGTAATAATGAAACCAACCATCAGATGTCCTGTGATGATTAATCCAGAAAAAGATGCAGAAAGAATTAACAAGTCAATTAAATTAATCGGTATGTTGAACCCATTCAATATGTTTAAATAAAACGCGTAATCTTTTTTTATGCGTTGGATTATAACAATTACAAACAAAGCAGGTACACATCAAGTACATCAAGTACACACGCATAACCTTACCAAGTCATGAGATCAACCAGTTGACTATTCATACTCTGAGTCTAATTCCATCAATACATCAATACAGCTGGAGGCGGCTGTTTGTCAGCAGTTTTGGTTAACAGTAGAACTATATTATGAATTCATAGGAGTTAAAATTTACGGGTCATTGAAATTAAACAGAAGTGGTTATTAAATGTTCAACGAGCTGATCTTGTGACCTGAAAGTCCTAAGTTGGATCTATGGACATTAGCTGAAGATATTAGACCTTATTAAGGAATCGCTGCTAGTCAACAATGAATTTCGTTCTTTGATATTGAAAACCAAAAATATAAGATCCAAATGTGGGTAGCTTCTCCATTTTACACAGTGTCCGATTTTGAGTTTTGTAACAAATTTGGATTAGTTTCAGGGTGAATTTTCTCAAAAACTGACATCAGTTTTAGAGAACTACTGAAAAGGAGGGAAAACTGGAAAGATGTCCCGTAATGTTTAGTATTATACAACACGTCAGGAATGAAGAGGGACTGGTTATTCGTAGACGTTTCATCAAGAAATGACAGGAGTTATAGTTCATGGCCCTTAATATCTCAACATGCTAGTTAGATGGTTAACGGGTTCTGTAATCTGAAGGTTAAGATTTTATCTTCGTTGGGTATTGCTTTGCACCCAATAAACTGCACTCAACTACTGCAAAACAGTCAAGAAATTCTTTTGGCTTTCAATGATTCTCCAGTTGTAGTCAGTTTGTGAGTTGTGCGCTAGGATAGTAGGTAATTCAGTTGATCTCATAACTTAAGATGACGCTGGCATCTATTACATGGGAAAAATGCGGAAGACCCGGCTGAATTAGATAAGCGAAGCACGAAAACCCAGGAATTTGAAAATGGCATAATCTAACGAAATGAAGAATTTAAGGAAAAAAGTTAAGCTTTGACATTACATGCAGTTACACAGAAACATACCAAAGGATGGGATAAAATTATAGTCTTGAAATCTGATACAACAGGGTGAAGGCAGAGATTAGTAACTGAAGCCTTGTTTATCTAATCAAGCCAGAATATATGCAAGTGAAATGATTCAACACCTGGTTTCAGAGATGTAGAAAGTTCTACTACCTTGAAGGCAAATGGAAAAGGAACGTGAATTACAAAAATCAAGTGACGAAGTCGTGTGGCTACAAATAATCTGAACGAAAAATTCTATTAAGGACGTCATCAAATAAATTACAATAATGTTTCACTGTGTGATATTTACAAGTAACAAATTAACATGGTATCTAATTTATTTAACTTACCAAAAGATTAGGACGAATTTATGTTAAATAGAAGTCTAAAGATTGAGCTTCTTCAGGGCTTGGAATCAACACAGCAAACTTGGAAATGCGCCATAAACTTCACCATCAGACTTTAACAATTTTCTACTGTGAAAGCATCAATGACGGAAACAACACGAATATGGGGTCTACGATTTCTTCAATGCATCAATATGGAATAATATGATAGAAATAAATGAAAAATCCCCACATTGAAATCAAAACAATATTCTGAGCGAACAATTGTTTTCGATAACCTCTCTTCAGGCTCTACAGTTATAAATCCATGAATAATAGAGTGCATATAGCCAATAAAGGCAAATGAAAATAATATCAGAAAGTGTATTGGGTGCATGTGTAAGTTGAGGTGATAGTCCATTAGTTAACATAGTCAATTAAATGTGTACGACCTAGCTCCTCTTTATTTTATCATTAGACACTATTGATCAGCCCTCATATTCAGTGCCTCCTTTGTTAATGTGTATGTATTTGTGGTTATCGCGTTTCTCTCACAATTGTTCATTCATGCTTCATCACATTTTTCTGACTAAAAACTCTATGCACATTAAATTGACTATGTTAACTAATGGACTATCACTTCAACTTGCACATGCACCCAATACACTTTCTGATATTATTTTCATTTGCCTTTATTGGCTATATGCACTCCATTATTCATGGATTTATAACTGTAGAGCCTGAAGGAGAAGTTATTGAAACCACAATTGTTCGCTCAAAATCTTGTTAAGATAGAAGTGGTTAAAACACTAAAATAATCCATCACTCAAGGCGATTATTCGTCCTCTGATGTTCATTATCGTGATCGGAAATGAAATATATTACCTTTTCCACATGTGATAATATTGACACCCTGAAAAGATGACCAGATGAATTTAACCTAAATATTTTGTGCTACTTATTAGTAGTGTAATGTAATTTTTAAAAATATGAGGGGTATATGGGACATAACCTACAGGTTTCAGTAAAAGACAATCTGAGGTCTACCAGTTTGAAGCTTTGGAGTGTAACTAGTGGGGACGTTGTAGTTTTAAAGATGAGTTTGCTAGTCTCACAGTGAAACTTCCTTCACTTGCCAGATTACTACTGTCTCGGTGAGGTTAAGAAGTGAGTCGGCCAGGCGTATAACCAATAACTCCCACAAGTTTGACAAACATTCTACTCGTGTACCACAGACACACAACTAATTATTTAATAAATTAAATAACCTGAAGAATAAACCAACGACGTTTTCAAAGCAACTGTTTTCAAGAATTAGTTTGCAGTGATTCTATTTCTTTCAGGTCAGAGAAGAACTGAAAACCAGAACTGAAGTTCTGGACAGCTGCTTTATCCTAGTTTACGAGTCATTGGAAGTATGCACCCATTGGGTTTGAACCCACGACCTTCCGGTTACAAAGCAAGCTCACTGGGACTCGATTTAATGCCTCAGTGGGTACGTGCTGCCGATGAGTCCCAAACTTAGATGAAATAGGTGTTACCTGGGTTCTAACCCAGGACCTTCCGGTTACAAGGCAAGCCTGTATACCATTCAGCCACTGAAACCCAATTCAATGGCCAGCCCATGAATTCTGACTTCTGTGATTTAGCGCGACAACCAGCCAACATCATCGATAGGAAATCCATCCTCACAGGTGACTGGTTGAGCCTCACTGGTCACGACTTCTCACTAAAACTCCAGGAAATTCCATCCTGTAGCAAGTCACTAGCGAGCATCAGAATAAATTTCAAGAGTTAGTTTGTAAGGATTAGATTTGTTTTTAAGAGTTTGATCAAGGATCGATATCAGTTAGAGAACCAAGGAGTACTGGATAGCCAGCTGTTTCATCCTAGTTAGCGAATCATAGTTAGTGACTTGCAACGGGATGGAGTTTTCTAGAGTTCTAGTGAGAAGTCGTGACCAGTGAGGCCCAGCCAGTCAACTGTGAGGATGGATTTCCCTCCGATGACATTGGTTGGTGGTCGTGCTAAATCACGACTTGGTAGAAGTTAGAATTCATGTCCAGCCCACTGAATCGGGTTCCGGTGGCTGAATGGTAATATGAGCTAGTCTTGTAACCAGAAGGTCCTGGGTTCGAACCTTGGAGGTGGGTGGATACTGGCGATGATTCTCAAGCTAGGACAGATGAAACAGTTGACTTTCCAGTACTCTCTGGTTTTAAATGGTTCTCTTATTGATATCAATCCGTGGTCAAACTCGTGAAAATGATTGCCAAGAAATACATGTATATCATACATACCAAAACATGTGGAACACTGAATGTAATTTCAAGCAAGGGCTGACAGATATCAGATGTAGTGATAAAATAAAGAGATTAAATTGTGAACTGTAATAAGAAAACATAATAAGCTTAGTATAAATTACAAAAGGTTGACACGTAACATAGGTAATAATGGAGTGAAGTGAACCAGGTGAAAATATGACAAAAAATATGGATGATGATGCCTCTACTGACCTTATAGTAGGCCAGGGTAAACAAAGACGATGAATGCGCTACTTTTACAAATTTAGCTCAAGTATTTTCCTGATAATCTCTAAAGCTTTCACCATAACTAGAAGACTTAATCAGTTGCCTTTAGACAGATTGTCTGGTACTCACCCGATATACAACCATAAGATGACTTATCGGTTTTTGAGTGGTGTTGACTATGTACTAGATGAGACACTACACTTTTTCCAAGCCATACAGGAATATGTTTATGAGGGAGCAAATATCCTAATTCTGAATAATTATTGTCTTTGGAAGTTAATTGGTGGCCGATGACTGCCAGTGGAATCTAGGGTAATGCGCATTTCGTCCTATTTTGGACTCGTCAGCTGATGTTCGATGTACCTGCATTCCGCAGTGAGTGATGATGCTCACACAGAGGCTCGAACCCAATGTCCATTGTTTCAAACGTCAAAGAGTTATCCACTAGACAATTTCGACTACAAAAGCTGGCCACTTCTTGTTCAACTAGTCATAATAATTGTTTATTTCAATTTTCGATTTTCCCGTCAACTGACTGGACTGAAGTGCTCGGTCTAAGATTGGCACGTCGGCTTCTTTCATCAATGTTTCGACAATGTCTGTTCATGTAATTCGAAGTTCCTGTTATAATGACAGCTTCTGAAACATCTTTACATTACGCGTTTGATACACATGCGTAATAAATAATGGGTGAGAGTGAAATGAAAACCTGAGTTACGAATAAATTCGGATAACATGCCTCTAAATATTATAACTAAGCAATGTACACTACTAATATACGTGCAGAACTTGGCCACTATAGTAGTATATAATTCCATAATAGCTTGTTTATTAGATATATCACACAGTATTATTTACTGGATACCAACATTTCGAACATAATATATTGTTACTCATAATCATATCAAATATAAACACACAACTTTAAAACTTGAGTTTTAACGTTTTCTTTGTTCTCTCCTATTTGTCGTCATTATGGCAGTAGAATTTTCCAGATATCTGGATGGACAGGTGTTGAATCATTCCTCTTCAAGGCACTCATTTTCATTCAGTTCCATAAATAAGGCGTCCGTTATCAGTCTCTCCCTCCAC